CACTCTAGCCTGGGCAACAAAGTGAGACTCCGTCTCAAAAAAAAAAACAAAAACAAAAAAAAACATTAGTCATTGAGTTCCTAAATTTCCTCATCTGAAAAATGAGAAAATAACAGGTACTAATTCAAAAGGCTCTGATAAAGATTACGTGGGTTAGAATGTTCAAAGCCCTTAAAAGTGGCTCACATTTAGTAAACACAAACACAATTGTCATTGTTGTTATTGCTGTCAATATGTTTTTAGGATAAGAAGAAGATAATTTAATTATTTATATGTCCACAACAACCTTCTTTTAAAGTGACACTTCATACCTCTGAGAGTTCTCATGAAAATAGGGCACATAGACATAGAAAGGATTGCTGTTATATCAAGTAGGCAATATACCTTTTGCTACAATTTAACACCAAGAAATAGAAAATCTCTGCAAATCTCATACACATAGTTTTAACTACCTAATCTAAAGATTTAAAAACAAATATTTGCACAGTGTTCACTGGTTGCTTATTTTGGTATAACAATGATAAAAGCATACCTTTGTGGAATAAGGAAAATAAATTATTGTCCTAACAGCAAGCATCAGAATTCCTCTTAGGGAACTATCCTGATAAACTAGGTGTCAGGTGGAAACTCAAACCCTTAGAGAGGAACTTGCATGAAATGAGGTCACAGTAGAGGGAGTTAAACTATTCAGCATTAGAAATAAGAAAGAATTTGAGAAGAAAAAAGAGAAAAGTAAAGGTATCCCAGAATTTATAACAGAACACAAAAAATGACTTCTAGGAAAAGGAGGCTGCAATACTAAATTTTAAGATTTGGGTTGGATTTTACTGTTTGTTTCATTTGTTTGTTTTTCAATATAATACCCTGACATTCACACACACCAACATCCCCTCCAAAGCTTCAGTAAACTCAGGGAAATTGGTGGAGAGTTTTCTTACTTATTTATTTATTTCAAATTTTGTTTTTTTAAATCCAAATCCAAAAAAGAGGCAAATTCCATACTCCCTTGACATGGTTTGGACAGGGACAACTCATGAAGTAAGAATGCTATCACACTTCAGCAGAAACAGTTCTTCTCCAGAAGTGAATATTAAATTCCACAGTGGTCCACTGTCTCTAGTAACTGTCTCACCCCCAGCCCCCTTCCCGTTTGCTCTTGAATACACCTGCCAGGGCTTTGTTCTATTAACAGAACCCAGTCATGTCAAGAGCACTAGTGACTGTCATACTGCTAAATGAGGACTGAAAATTAACCATTAACCATCTAACTTGATTCACCACAATTTATTATTTACTTTTTGTAATGTTTTCTTCGCTAGATGCCCTAGACACCACATACACACACAGTTTCCTTGATACCTCAACTACAAGGTGCCCCAAAAGTCACCATACAAAGGAAAAGTCGTGTAGAATTTTCTAATGACTACTTTGTAAATAAAGGTACATTTATCCACAATTTCCCGTTTTCCCTACGTATGGTAACTTTTGGGACACCCTGTAGATGCTTCCTCTCAGTGGCCTTTACTGATTCCTCATCTCTCTAACCTCTGAGCATTGAATCAGTCAGTCCCTCCTTGTCCCTATTCTCTTTCCTATCTGCTCTCACTGCCTTGGTAATCCCATTCAGCCTCACAGCTTTGTATTTCACAGTATGCTGGCAAATGTATATCTCTAGCCAGATTATTCCCCCAAATCACATGTTTATAAGTTTGACTGTCTACTTGGATTTCTTAACAGACATCAACATGCCACCTAAATGTTTAATAATCATGTCAGTCTCAACAATTATCTCCTTTCACAATCCTTCTGTCTCAGTAAATGGTAATTCCATCTTTCTAGTTCTCAGGCCCAAAACTTTGGAGTTGCCCTCAGCACCTCTCTTTCTCTTATATTTCATATCTTGTTCATTAGTAAATTCTGTTGTATCTAATATATATATACATACATATATATATATATATATAGAGAGAGAGAGAGAGAAAGAGAGAGATGGACCACTTTTGACTACTTAACCATTAACATCCTCATCCAAGCAACCATCATATTTCATAATTTTGTCATAGCTTCTTAACTGCTGTGCCTCTGTCTTTTCCTCCTACCTCAGGGCTTCTCAACCTCAACACTTGAAATTTGGGGCTAGAAAACTCCTTGTTGTGAAGGGTTACCCTGTGCATTATAGGATGTTTAGCAGTATCCCTGGCCTCTACTAACTAAATGCCAGTAGCATACTCCCTACTCACCCCAAAGTTGTAACAAACAAAAATGTCTCCAGATATTGAAGGACAAAGTCACCCTCAGTTGAAAACCACTGCCCAGCAGTGTATTCTCAACTTGGCCACAGAACGACATTTTATAACATAAGCCAGATTGTATAATGCCTCTGCTCAAAACTCACTGATAGATTTCCATCAAGAAAGAAAGAACAAAAGAAAGAAAGAAAGAGCTGAAGTCTTTACCACAGCCTGCTGGCTCTCCATGATCTGCCAGCCCCTCCATTACTGCTTGACCTCACCACCTCACTCCTTTACTCACTCTGCTCCAGTCAACTTACCTCTTTGCCATTCCTCAGCTACACCAAGAAAGCTCTCACATCAAAGTCTAGGGGTATTTTGTTCCCTCTGCCTATAGTCCTTGTCTCATGATATGCACTGGGATTACTCCTTCACTCCCTTAGAGTTCATCACTCAAAAGTCACCTCCCAGTGGAGCCCTCCATGGTTGTCCATTTTAAAAACTCAGCCTCCTTCCCATGCCCCAACTGCCCCACACACTTCCTATCGCTCTGTTCTAGCGTTGGTTTTAATGGCACTTATCTATATGCTACATGCTACAAATGTTGCTATGTCTCCACCTGATAAAATGTCAGTCCCACCAGGGAAGGGATTTTTGCCTTTTTTATTCACTGCTGTACCTGCTTCACATAGAAAAATGCCTGTGATAGGCACTCAATAAATGCTTCTAGAATAAATGAGGGAAGGCAGAAAGGGTAAAGCAGGTCTTAAAAACCATCTTACATAGATCCAAAGGATCAAGGCAGTCTCAGCTTATATCTAGAATACATCTACATGCATCATTAACAAAGACTAAGTTGGTTTCCATAGAATTTATTCAAAATATAATTCATTATGTACAGTGGAAAGCAAGGATTTGTCAAAGTGTGTCTGTGCTTAGGGATTTTTGGTAGGGGGTATTTAGAAAACATATTTCCAAATACATTATCATACAGTTCTAAATATGTATAGATACATGAAATAACTAAAATTTTAAGAGAAATTTTATAAAGCACCATGGGCTGCAGTAACTCCCCTAGATATATAAAAAGGAGTATGCTGGGACAAGTCAAATCACTCAATTATATACACCATCAGGCAACTTAACAAGTAATAGTAACAGTGAACAAAGTACTTTTCTACAGATGAAAGCCTGCATGGTTCAATTGTGAGTGAAATAGAGGAATAGAAATGCTTCCTGCTGCAAGCTGACAGTTACATGGAACCCCCTGAAGTTATCAATTGAGTTCCTCTGCTAATTACTGGTCTGAATGGGACAGAGAAAGATCCACATTTTATTTCTTTTGCTGAACTTGCAGCCTAAGTACTTGTGAATTTTACATTAGGGTCAAGCTGGGAAGTTCCCAGTTGGTTGTACCTGGAGTAGATAACAGTGGCATCTTCCATGCAAATGAGGTCAGGTATTCCTTTCTGCCTTGGGTGACTACAAGGGAGATTTCAGTGTAACAGATTCTAATAGGGAAGTTGATAAAGTGGGGAAAACAGAACAAAACAAAACATTGATCCTATTCGAAATAAAATTTTGCCTGTGGATTCTAAGTGCTCATGTTTCAAAAAGATCTCCAAATTTTGTAACATCACTCATAAAAATTGTATGGCATACTTATTGATAACAATATCAACTATTCTATCAACTTTTTAAACTAACTATTCATTGTAAGACCAATAAAGCTACACAGCAGGCAAGTACTTTAATGAAATAGGCCCAGTTCTCCAGGGAGGAGAACTTGTGGTTCAAACACTAACACTTTTGATCTAGTAAGCACTTTATTCTTGCCAATGAGGAATACCTTTTACATGGAATCTGATCAAAAATACTCTTGGGAAGGAGAAGGGATGAGGAAAAGTGAGGGAGAAACAAAGGACTGTCGTGATGTAATATTTCAAATAAAATAGGTTTTCTGAGAAGGAAAATAACTCCAACATTTCTAATGTATGTATGCACCCTTTCTACCTTCATGAAAAGCCACAATTCATTCCCTAGCAAAAGCAGCAGCCTCATTGAAATTAGGATGACAGATTAATACACTTATGCATTCAACCAACACTTATTAAACACATTCTCCTTGTAAAAGGAAGAAACATAAAAACATTCACAATCTCCATTATTACCAAATTTCTCTTCTGTATTTTTATTCCATTTACCATAATTATATACCAGAAATATGATTGAACACAGCTCATCTAAGGGATAACTAATACTCTGAGGCTTGACATCTCAAAATCTGGAAAGAAACACACCAACAAATGTAACATATCGAACAATTTCGGAAGTCATTAAGACCTAGTTTGAAATCCCAGCTCCCTCACTTACTGGCTGTCTAGATGAATGGAAAACTCCCTGGGTCTCAATTTCCTTATATATGGTAAATGTTCTAACTGTACCTACCCACATGGTAGTTGTAGTTATGCAATGCTGGCAAGCATGTTTCTAGAGTACATATTAAACAAATTGTAGGTATTTGAGTTATCTTTTGGAAACCTAAACTAGCATAATGCCTTTCTTAATTCTCGTGGGCACTTACTGGCAAGACTCCAGAAACACTAAATCTCATTTTACCTCTTCAAAAGAAATTATTTTTCATGCTTATCTTCTCTAAAAATAGAAACCTCAGAATTTTCATGCTTCTGGATATCTCAAAGAAACATGTGAAGAAGAAATTCCATCTTCAAGGAGCCCTTCCAATAAAATAACCAAGAAAATTCTTACCTAGTTTTGGCAAGGAATAGGGCACTTTAAAGTAATCTTCATAAAATTCTATTAGTCTCTTTGTTATATGGAGAGCATAGTCCCCGGATCCTCTTCTGATAGCATCGGGTCTTGCATATAACCGGACCTAATTAAAAATATATATAAAAGTTACGTTAGCCTTTTGGTACTCGAGTTTTATCTTCCCTGCAAATATGAATTTACACAAATCACTTTGGGTACTACAAAAATTAAACAGAATCCGTCTTCATACTGCATATCAAAGCGTGCTGTGGCTGAAAGAACCAAACTTGAATAATTGAAGTAATTGAAGTAACCAAGTTGAGCAAGTCACAATTTCCTTGCTTTACAAGATGACATAGAGAAGATTTATACACCTTGCATCAACATAAATATTCAAAGTTATCACTTACATGTGCTTGGTAGAGATAGGAAGGCATGGTGGATTAGTATAATGGGTCCCTGACTATGCTGAAAGTAGGCAGGATATGGTGGCTCAGCAGGAGAGAAAATCATGGTTTGTTACAGACACATTGTATCAAGCTTTGGAAGTATTACCAGACTGAAAAAATATATATATAATTTATGTTTCCTTCTTTTCTTTGGAATCAACTGTCTTTATTCCCAATATGCAAAGTAGGGATAGAAAATTTTCCATGTATGTAAGCAATCTCCGTTCTGGAAGGCCCTCTGCAACTGCTTCCAGCTTCAAACCCAGCGGAAGTAATTCATATTTTGAACACAATCCAGATACTTAATATTGATTTTTAAAGCAAGCACCATAGATTATCTAGTCCTTGACCAAATAAAAGCCTAAAGCAAGTAACAGAAAACTGAACAAAACTAACAATTGTATAGAAAAGGTTAAAATGAGATTAGTTTTCATAAAGCTTTCATAAAGCTATCCAGCATCTTTCTTTCCAAAGGCTAAATCTATTTTTCACAGATGTGGTCCCTAATCCTCACATCAATTCTGTGAATAAGAAATATGTATTTTGTGGAGCAGGAGAAAGCACAATGTCTTGGGAGTTGGATTTTAGTCCTACTCTTGCCACTAACCAAGCTGGGTGATACTGAACAAATTACTTAACCTCTTTGGGTCTCAAATGTTTTCATTTATAAAATGAAGGTGTTGGACACCAGCTGGTTGCTAAAGTTCTTTTCAGTTCTAAAACATATTACTTCCAATCCCATTTTACAGATAAGGGAGTTTGTGTTCTTTTCAAATGACTAGAAAAACAAATGGTTTGCTCAGTATATAGAAATGGATATTTATATTCAGTAGTAAAACAAAAGAAAGTTATATTCAATCATAATATAAAAAATTGATTATATAATTAACTCTTTATTACCCATGCCTAAGAAAAGAGAACAGAGATGTGCATAATCAAAAAAAGTAAAACGTCAAGGAAAATACATTCTGACTTTATGTTAGGAAGACCTGTAATTCAATAAGGTATTTACTAAATTCAATAATAATTATTTACTGAAATTATTTACTGAAATTGTAAAGCTACTTCCCTCCCAACAGCTAAATTAAATACCATATTTAGTTTGTGGTCACCAACGTTTTTGGCTGGCAGTAATAGAAAACCAAAAACTATCAGAAAAGACTACCTGCAACAGCAGATGTTGACACTCTTACAGAGGCAGTGGTTAAGATCTCCTTGCCTCTGACATCAACTGTTTATAAACATGCAAAGTTTACAAGTAAATTATAGATACTTAAGTAAAGTTCCCAAGAAGCAGCCCCTAAGTAAAGGATGAGTGTACAAGGGATTTAATAAGTACTCTCAGGAGACACTTACAAGGGAGTAGGGGAAGCAGGGTAAGGGAAGATAACAGGCCAAGCAAGGGTGCAATTTCAGGTGAAGTCCTGGACTCAGCCTGACCCACAAGGAGCTCTGGAGTGTGAATTGCACTGGTGGGTTTGCACTGCTTTGAGGCAAGAGAAATTCCATACTCTTGCATCTCAGTTATTGGTTAATGATCATCGGTTAACAAAGGGAGTAAATAAAATCCCAGGTACTTCTGGTTCTTAAAGTATTTGGGTGACTCGGGCCCTATGGTCCAAATATAGCATGGTCCAAATATAGCATGATCCAAATATAGCATATATATGTTTTATCTTCTCACTCAAATTGGATAATTTCCATCAAATCTTGACAACCAGATTGATTTAATTGTGTTTCTCTTGTCTGGGCCTACAGAGAGCTTGACTAACTAGTTGAGTTGATTGATAGGAATGATTGTTTTTCTACCAAAATTAATGATGTATCCTGAGAGTAAAATCAGTGAACTCTGCTGCATCATTTTGTAGTACTCTGAAAAGGTGTCAAGTATGACCTTTCAGGATCAAAGCAATGGGAGCGAGAGGATTGGGCATACCAAACAGGAAAGGAAATCTAGTCTGTGCACCAGCAGCCTCCACTAGAGACAGTCATCATTCATTTGTGCATTCATTCATTCAACAAATATTTATTTGGTACCTGCTTTGTACCAGGGCCTGAACTAAGCATTTTTAACTTAACAATAAAGAAGACATGTTCTCTAACCAAAGGAAGTGCAAGGCATTAACTGACACAAAAAGCAATGAAGATGTAATCACCATTCTCAAGAGCTCCTCATTTATTAGGTATGTTAGATAATGACAAGTGATAATGATATGTGCCATCTGAATGATAAAACATAAATGTCAAATGGACACTGAGGAAGAATGGATAGCTTTCAGAAAGTTCTAGGTGAAGTAACTAGTAAATTCACGTTAAAAACCATAACCAAGAGTACTACAAAATGATGCAACGAAGTTCACTGAATTTACTCTCAGGATGCATCATTAATTTTGGTGGAAACACAATCATTCCTATCAATCAACTCTACTAGTTAGTCAAGCTAACTGTAGGCCCAGACAAGAGAAACACAATTAAATCAATCTGGTTGTCAAGATTTGATGGAAATGATCCAATTTGAGTGAGAAGATAAAACATACACATGCTTAGCACAGTGTCTTCATTTGCTCATTAAAACATTTATTGCACACCTGCTGTGTGCCAGGCATTGTACTAGGGAACAGAAATAGAATGATAAAATTCCTACCACAGAATGAATGAGACTTTTATACTTACAACTCTTAAAAGGTTCATAATATGTGGAAAACAAACAAATAAATCAACAACAAAAATACAATGTGAGAAATATAACAGTGTACTCTGCTTCCCCTCCCATTACAAAAGATGAACTGAAAAGCTCCTATCCAAGGCTAAGCCTTCCACATTCTATCCACTCTTGCCTGTTCAAAGACATCATTTCCAAAATTCTCCCCTTTATCTCCCATATCACCGATTTATGCTTCCATACTGGATCATTCTCATCAGCAAACAATACTCTATATTTGTTCCATGTTTTAAAAAATAATCTTTCTTGACTACAGTTCCTCCAGGCATGGTTTCCAACCATGATCATTGAGTTTTCTGCAGAGTTAGGATGAAAATGTCAGTTAACACCCAAACCAGAACATTTTTGAGAATAAAAAGGAGCACTTACAACTTGATATGTTAGCTGCAAGTAGGATGTTTGCCTATTTATACTCCCTCTTCCTACTCTGTCTTGAACTCACTACAACAAAGCTTTCATCCCCACTACTCTACCAAAACTATTCTCATCAAGATCACTAATGGCCTCAAGATGGCAAATCCTATGTCCAGTTCTCACTCTTCAACATGCTTAACCTGTCAACAGCATTTGGACAATTGATCATTTCCTCTGCTTGAAGCACTTTTTATATATTCATTCATTCATTCATTTAGAGACAGGGGTCTTGCTCTGTCACCCTAAAATGTAGTGGTGTGATCATAGCTCCCTACAACCTAAAACTCCTATGCTCAAGCAATCCTCCTGCTTCAGCCTCTCAAGTAGCTGGGACTATAGACATTTGTCACCATGCCTGGCAATTTTTTATTTTTTTATTTTTTTCTAGAGGCAGGGTCTTACTATATTGCCTAGGCAGTTCTCAAACTCCTGAGCTCAAGTGATCCTCCTGCCTTGACTTCCCAAAATGCTGGGATTATAGGCGTGAGCTACCGTGCTCAGCCTGAAACTCTTTCTTCACTTGGCTTCTCTCACTTTTCCTTACATCCCATTGACCACTCCTCAGTCTCCTTGCTGATATCTCCTTATCCTCATCCCAATCACTTCTTAATGTTGGAGCGTCTCAGTTTGCAATGTATAGACTTCTTCACTTATCTTTGAAAAAAATAAAACTCCCTTGGTGATAACTTCTAGTCTCATAGTCATAAATATCATTTAGATGCCAAAAATTTACCCAATAATTCCAGATTCCATATTCATTAATCCAACTGCCCCCCTGGCATCTCCACTTGGGCATCTAATAGGCATCTGAAACTTAACATGTCTAAAACTGAACTCCTGATATCTCTCTCTCTCGCTCTCTCTCTCTGTCTCTCTCTCTCTGTCTGTCTGTTTGTCTCTCTCTCTCTCTGTCTCTCTCTCTCTCTCTCACACACACACACACACACACACATCCATACCTATTCCTCCTAAAACCTTTCCCATCTCCGTTAATTACATCCTTCCATTGATCTGTCCAGGCCCAATGCCTCAGCACCATCCTTTTCCCTCTTTCTCTCACACTCCATGTTCAGTTGGTCAGCAAATCCTATTGGCTCTACCTTAAAAATATATCTGGAATCCTATCACTTCTCACACCCCGATACCACCACTATGCAGGTCCAAGCTTCCTCCACTTCTTGCCTGGAAGAATGATCTGCTATCCTGCTGATGTCTTATCCTTTGCTCCCTTCAGGCTGTTATCTACACAGCAATGAAACATTTCCTGTTAAAATATGGGTATCACATCATGTCACTTTTCTGCTTTTCTTCCTCCAATGGCTTTTGATCTCATTCAGAGTAAAAGCCCAATGTTTTACAAGGGCCCAGAAATCCCGATATAAATCTAATCCCCTCTAGCTCTCTGGCTTCATTTCCTACTATTTTGGTCCACACTAACTACAATTCATTCATGCAATTCACTGGTTTCCATACCATTCCTCAAATATACCACAGAGATTCCCCTTCAGAGTTTTTTAGTTTCCCCCCAGATATCTCCAT